TCTCACCATCAGCCGAGAAACTAGAAGTAATGCTTAATGATCTAGATAGAGAAAGTCAAAAGGTTGGATTAATTATAAACACACAAAAAACAAAAGTAATGACAAACGGAGAGAAGAAACCTATATATGTAAACAATAACGTAATGGATTATGTCGAAGAATATATTTACCTGGGACACCTAATTTCGCCAAATGAAGCAACCTCAAAAGAAATAGATCGTCGTGTGGGAAACGCTTGGAAACAATACTGGAACTTCAGAGACATTATGACTAATCGAGATATTAATATGTTTATCAAGCGAAAATTATTCGATACCTGCATTATACCGGTAATGACATATGGTTGCCAGACATGGGCTACCACAAAGGCTCAAAACAAAAAAATAGCAACATGCCAGAATGCCATGAATAGGAGTATGATGGGTGTAAGATTGTCGGACAAAATAAGAATTTCAAACATCAAGAAGCATACCAGAACCAAAGACGCAACCATCGTGGCTAAAAAATTAAAATGGAAATGGGCGGGTCACACAATCAGGGGCGAGGAAAAATGGTCGAAATTGTTAATGAACTGGTACACAAAGCACAAGAAGAGAAAAAGAGGCAGGCCATATACTCGATGGGTCGATGAGATCAAAGCAGCAGCGGGCAGCGCCTGGTCCAGAACGGCGAAAAATAGAAAACTGTGGTCCAACATGGAGGAGGCCTTTGTCAAAATGGCACACAGACAATAATTGTTTATAATTTATAATACATTATATTAGAACTGTTATTTATTGTCTGAATAAAGGCTTATATTATTATTATTATTATTATAATAAAGCGTAAACACACACTTCTTTGTTGCCTAAGATCTCAGCAATTACACCATATTTTTGAATAATACTTTTTTTAATAAAAAGCCCTACACTTACGTCACGCTTTAGGCTATATATTTTCACGACATTAAACTTAAGGGGTAAATATTTTGGATAAAAATCCCAATGTGGGAAAGAGACCATAAGTTGCTGCCAACATCAAGGAAGCAAGGTTGTCATCATATCGTCATTTTGACATTTGTAATTGACAATACGACAAATGTAAACAATAAAATAAAATTTTGAATGAAATGATGCGAATGAGTCCCACGGGAATTGGTAGTTGCCTCATACATTCAGAATTTTAAATATGAAATAAATAATGAAGTATGCAGAATTATAGTTATTTTAATCTAGAGCCGGTCTGAAAATCTTTCAATTGAAATTATTTCCAGGATTTGCATTTATGTTTTTTTTTCTAAAAAAAAAAAACTAAATGGCTCTCTTGAACATTTAACCTAATGGCGCTTAAAACAAATCGCCTTTCACCTAACGATATGTTTGTTTGTTAGTTTGTAACCTAAATGAAGCGCCAATACTCTAATGGTTTGTGGACTACCGATCTTGGGTCGAAGGTTCGAATCCCGACATTCGACTGTCGAACACAATATCCTAGCACAAGCCTACAGCTTAGTTTTACTAACAAAATTCTACCATATAAAAAAAAAATAATGGGATCTCGATGATTTTCTTATATGTAGAGGATAGTCTGGAACATATAAGATACTTTTTTTTTTTATTCCTCGCGGACGGAGTCGCGGGTGAAAGTTAGTTAAAAAATCTTTCTTTCATATTTATTTGAAATAGTTACAATATAAAGCGTATGTTGTGTTTAATTTTTAAAAATGTACTTAGTCTTTTGTATTTATTTTCCAGCGATAAGAGTGCGAAGTAATTTGATGCCAAATTCAGAACCAATCCCCGTCGACAGCGATGATGAACCTGATTTAGGTGAGAGCTTATTTTATTCTATATTATTATAACATGTAGGGTAGGTAGAAATAACGAGAGAAGGCTGCTCGGAGGCAAAGGCGACGAGGAATGCGTTCCCTCTAATTCCGAGCTATAATAGACGATTGTCTTAACCGTGAAACGACCAAAGGGACCCTTTGGGTCGTGGTAGAGGGCAGGAGCCCTAACCTCGAGTGGTCCTTTGATGCCAAAACATCGTGGAGCCTCAGGGAGAGTTTGAGTGCCGACGGTTCCGGTGTGTTCCTTGGAGATCCCGGAACCTTCGTCAATGTCACTAGAGGATCGCCACCGAGGGTTTTAGTAGGTCAAATTCTACATAACCCTGCCTTCCCCCCTGAAGGCAAGGTATCTTTTAAAGATTTCCTCCCGATACCAAAAAAAGGGTAGAAATAACAAATTCGATCATGTAAATACTTGAACCAGATATTTCTCTACCCACTGGTGATTTTTTAGACTAGTACGGGGGTTGAAAATGTAGTAATTTATCAGTATAAATTATTATATTAAGGGTCTATTCCAGCAAATTGTAATACTCCGATAACTACCTTATCTGATAGTGACGTCATTTTTAAGCTATCTCAGCCTCTATCAGCCGGTGGTGGGACAGGCACTTAATATACAGAAAAGTATGGCTAATATATTAAATTTTAATTTTCTTAAAAAGCCAAATTCTGGTAAAATGTCGTATATTTCGCTATTTTGTCGAATTTATTGAAAATTATTTCTTAATTCCAGGTTCTCCGAGTCAGGCGTCAGATTCATTGAGTTTGGATGAAAATCTACGCGCGTTGCGACACATACATGAAAAATATGCCAACATTGATAAGGTCAGTAGAAAATAATATCAATTTTGACGATTTTTTTTCTTTTCAATTTAAAAAGTAACTCATAAGAAATGTTTAAAAAGGAAGCTTATAAAACAATCTTAAGACACCCCCAAAAGAATTTTAAGTTCCTTAAAAACCATCTCTAGTCCCCTAAATGCTCTTAATTCCCCCGCAAAAAACAATCTCAAGTCCCCCAAGTGCTCTTAATTCCCCCAAAAAAACAATCTCAAGTCCCCCAAGTGCTCTTAATTCCCCCAAAAAACAATCTCGAGTCCCCTAAATGCTCTTAACTTTCTAAAAAACAATCCTATGATTTCCAAATCGTTCTCTAGCTTCCTAAAAAGATCCCAAGCTCCCCAAAATCATCTCAAGTTCCCCAGAAACAGGTTTAACTTAGAGTTTGTGGGAAATTAGTTATTTTAACTAACTTAAGTTTATTTTTTGTACATCAACAAATAAAATTAACCCTTAAATACATGATTTTTTTTAAATACCCTAAATTGAAACAGGTAGTAAATTGAAATTTGAATCAAGGGGAAAATAAAGATTTTTTTTAATAGTCTAGGTAGGGAATAGAAGATTGTTGTATCATCATGCATTAAGGTGTTAAGTTTCAATATGCATGTTTAAAAATAAGTAAATTTCTCCATTGTATTTCAGGACGAGATGTACGAGGCTCACTTGCTCGCTGCTAACTTCAAGAAGCCGGCTGACGGCGCGCACAAACACGCGCTCAGGAACACTGAAGGTAGTTACAGCGGTAGAGCCCGCTTTAACATCTACCCACTGTAGGACTCGCCACAACCACGACCACACAAGACAGGCGTGAAGTGGAAGCAATTCCGCGTATTCTGATGAGTGTGGTGCCGGGGGCCTCATTTTAGTCCTTTTCCCTTTCCTCACTTTTCTTAAGAGGTAGGGATGGGAAGGAGAAGTTGATTTGACGGTGGAGGAGACGCATAGGAAGAGGAAATGTCCTCATTATGTGCGTCTCCTCCGTCAATGAAGGGTAGGCAGCGCTGCAATTGCAGATGTTTATGTGCAGCGGTCGCGTTCCATTTCGGTGGATTCAGGCCGCTCGCTCCTTTGCCATCTTATTTTATAAAAAAAAAACTTACTAATAAATGTATTCATAATGTTTGTTGGACTAAACAGCTGAACGGATGTAGAGGATAGTCTGAACGCATAGACTGTTTGCTTTTTTTAATACCTTGCGGATGGAGGTGCGGGCGAAATGTAGTTACTAAAAGAAATACGAAAGTTTGAATGGATGGATGTTTGTATCCTAAACTGCTGCATTGATCTCGATGATTATCAGATGCAGAGTCTGGAAGAACACATAGGATACCTACTTTTGTTTTTTTTTAATACCACGCAAGCGGACTCATGGATAACAGCTATATCTTACTAATATTATAAATGCGAAAGTTTAGATGGATGGATGTTTGTTATATTTTGTATCTTAAACTGCTGAACAAATCTCGATGATTATAATACATGTAGATATTCTGAACACATAGACTTCTTTGCTTTTTTAAATTCCACACAGGCGGAATCGCGGGTTACAGCTAGTTTATACATCTTCATACATTTCAGGTGGATCAGTTAAAGAAATGGATACGAGAACGGAGAAGATCGACGATAGCTCTAATTCAGACTCTGATAGCAGTACTTCGGGTTCCTGTAAGTTTTAAATAATTTGTAAATAACTAATAAATTGTATAACTAAATAACCTAAAAAATAGCCTATAACATTGCCTAATGTATTAGCTATCTTCCAGTCAAAGTCCCGTCAAAATTGGCCTAGAAGTTTCTGAGATTGTAAAGAATAAGGAATTATTCCCAACCGTCACACCGCTCTGTCCCCCCGTCGGATCAAATGAGAATAAAAAGTCATCCGTCCCACCTTTTCGACGAGGGGACGGTTGGAACATATTTCATAACGTTTCCATCAGTCACCTTATTGGTGATAGTGGGACTAAAAGGTGGGACGGATGATCTATTCTGACGTGGGGACCGAACGCGGTGACGGTTGGGAATAATCCAGAACAAGCAACTTTATTTTTTTTTACTCTATAAGTAACTTTAAATTATTATTTTACAAGCAGCAAGAGAACGGTTAAGTGATGGTGAGTGGTTTGGGGTTGGATATTGTTACGGAAATATATTTCCAACCCATATATAGATTTTGTTGATTAAATACGTTTCAAACGCCAATATCATAATGGTTTAGTTACTCCCGATCTAGAAGTCGAGGGTTCGAATCACAGAATTCGATTATTGTAAACCATATATTGGAATGGTTAAAAGAAATTAGTAAATTAACAAAAATCTACTAATATTTTATAAGTAATAAAGTTTTAGAACTTTATTGACCTCATATTATCGAATTAAGTAGCTTACAATCAATTAATTATTTTTCTTTAGTAAATTAACTGAAAAATTCAGTTAAAACTGCATATTTAGACAAGATAGTAACTCTTGATCTACTAAGCTTTTATAATGTACATAATTTTAGCGTATATTGTACTTAGTATCAATTATTAACCAGTATTCACATTGTATGTATATCCTCCATACAGGCAGCTCATCTTCGGGCAGCAGTTCCTCCTCCAGCTCGGGCTCCTCCAGCTCCTCGGACAGCTCTGACAGCGAGTCTGACACGGAGCGCCCCGCGCAGCCCCCGCCCGCGCCGCACGACGACAGGTCACTACTGACACACTCCTGATACACTTCTGACATACTTTTGATACACATCCGAAACATTTCTGATACATGGCTGGCACATTTCTGACACATTACTGATACATGTCTGACACACATCTGATACATTTCTGACACACGACTGATATACATCTTATATATTTCTGACACACATCTGACACATTTGTGACACACACCTGATACTTTTCTGACACATGACATACACATCTGATACATGTCTGTCGCACAACTGATACGTTTCTGACACACATTTGATAAATTTCTGACACACATCTGATATATTGTGTGACACATTTTATATAAAATATATAGAGGAAGCATAGTTGACACTTCATCATGTTCTGTATCCATATGCATATGGTTCTTAACCGACGGATTAAATGTTTTGTGGAGTAAGGGGACACTATTAACTATAATTTAAACGCAAAGTTTGTTACCTGTTTTTCAATGTTGATCCGTCCGTTAAGAATCATCCTGTATATTTTTTAAATCTCATTTAGGGTCGAAAACTAAAAAAAAATTTTTCCAACAGATCGTTTGGGGCATGGTCTAGCTACAGCGGGGCGCAAACACACTCCGGCTCCGAGTCTAATAGTGAGGATGAGGCGGGGGCAGGGGCAGGGGCAGCAGCAGGGGCGGTGGCAGTGTCTGGGGCAGTGGGGCAAAATCCGGTACCTATTCCGGGGCCGGAGACGCGGCCAGACGATGATATCAGCGAATCTGAGAACGAGTCTGCGGATAAAAGCTTCCAGTGCTACATCTGTAGGAAGTGGTACTCAACAAGGGTTACACTCAAGTAAGAACTTAGATTGCTTAGTTTTTAGATATCTTAAGTTGGCCCATGTATTTGTGAGTGTAGTATTGTAACTTCTGAGGTTATTGAGTCAAATTATTCAAATTAATCTGTACTAATATTATAAAGAGGAAAAAAATATATATTTGTATTGTATTTGTATGTATATCGAAGTAACTCAAAAACTACTGGGTCAATTTAAATATTCTTTCACTGTTAAAAATACTTATTTTTATTTATGCTATTCCTTATTATCACGCGGGAGAAGTCGTGAGCAATAGGTAGTCTATATTATTATTATAAAGAGGAATAAAATTGAATTTTTGTATTTATAGAAATAACTCAAAAACTACTAGGCCGATATCAGAAATTCTTTCACCATTAAAAAGCTACATTATTGCTGGATAACATAGGCTACATTTTTACTACTTTTTATTACATGTGGACCAAGTTGCGATCAGAAGCTATAATATGTGAAGTAACTGCCAGTAACATCTATCTTTCCAAGTAGTGATCTATCATACAATTCTTATATCAATAAAAAGCTGTGTCAGAAATATTGTCTCTCTATCTCTCTCTCTTTCTTTCTTTATATATATTTTATTTATAAAGAGGGAGAGAGAGCTCTTTATCTTTTTATATATATATATATTTGAATATAATTGTGCTGTGTGTGCAGGATCCACAGACGCGTGCACCAGAGCCGCGGCGGTGGCGGCGGGCGGGCACGCGCGCGCTGTGCCGAGCGCTACGAGTGCGACTGCTGCTCCGACACCTTCAGCCGCCGCGACAAGCTGCGCGAGCATAAGTACGTGCTTACTACACAGCCCATCACCACGGTCTACTCAGTAGACCGCAGTAGACCGACACTTATACATGTTTAGATGAACTTATATGAATGTTTACATGTCTGGGAATAGCAGGAATACAGTTTAATCTGTGGTCTACTCAGTAGACCGCAGTAGACCAACCTTTACACATGTTTAGATGAACTTTTATGAATGTTTACATGTCTGGGAATAGTAGGAATACAGATTAATGTGTGGTCTACTCAGTAGACCTCAGTAGACCAACCCTTATTCATGTTTAGATGGACTAATATGAATGTTTACATGTATGAGAAAAGTTGGAAAACAGTTTCATGTTTGATCTAGTCAGAGATACTAGAGTTTATAGCCTAACGGATGTCGACTAAATTTGTCATAGATGTAGAACATAGTCTTGGCAGAACACAGTCTACTTGCCAAGTGTTTTTTTTTTATGGTATAATCTATTATTATTATAGATTAACAGCGGTAGAGCCCGCTTGAACATCTTCACACTGTAGGGTCGGTTCGTCCAGTTCAATACCACGACCACACAGAAGACAGGTGTGAAATGGGATCAATTCCGCCTACAGACTGATGAGTGTGGTGCCAGAGGGTTAATTTTAGTCCCTTTTCCTTTCCACTCTTTTCTTAAGAGAAAGGAATGGGAAGGAAAAGTGGATTTGAACGTAGTGGAGGCGCATTGGAAGAGGAAATAACCACTTTATGTGCGTCTCCGTCAATTAAACGTAGGCAATGCATCTGCAATGCGGATGTCTATGGGCAGTCGCTTCGCCATCTCGGCGGTTTTAGTTGGGCGCTTGGTATTTGCCACCTTATAATATACTAGTTTTTGCCCCCGCCTCAGATCGCGTAGAATTAAAAAAAAGGCCTATGTGTTCTTCCAGATCCTATACGTATCTACCAAATTTCATGGAGATCCGTTCATCAGTTTAGGCTACAAACTTACAAACATCCATCCATCTAAACTTTCGCATTTATGATATTCAGTATTGTTTAGAAGAAAATTATTACCGTGCTGTAGAATTGGCGCAACAGACAGCTGTCAATGTCACTAGATGTATATGTATATTCGCGCACATTCCTGGAGGGACCACTAGTTCAGAGTGTTTAATATCGCTAGAAACAATTATATTAATTGTTTAAAAGTATGATGTAAAAAAAATATTGCAGTGATGTTGTTCGCGAGCGCCTGCCACTTTTTGAAGAGCAACGTACAATATTCGCATTACCGTCTCAGAGCATGAAATTTATTTATATGCATTCAAAATCTGTAACTGACGGAGTAAACGCATCCCTCTTGGCACCAATACTGTTTTATTTAATTTCTCCGAATTATCGACCAAATATTTACAGATGTATTTACAGATTGTATATATTGTGTGCAGGGCGGAGGCGCACCGCGGCAGCATGACGGTGCGGTGCGAGGTGTGCCGCAAGTGCTTCGAGGACGAGGCGGAGCTCGCGGCGCACGACGCGGCACACACCGCAGACGAGCGCGCGGGTAAAATAAAAAAATATAATTAAATAATGTTTAATCTTAACACAACAACATAATTAGGAATTAGGAAAAAATCAAAGTAATTAAATAAACTCGTAATTAAAGGAAAATCGAAATATTTTATATTATAATTTACAGTGGTAGTGCCCGCTTTAATATCTTCGCACTGTAGGGCTCGCCCCCACTAATACCACGACCACACACAAGACAGGCGTGAAGTGGAAGCAATTCCGCGTACACTCTGATGATGGTAGTGCCGGAGGCCCAACTTTAGTCCTTTTTCCTTCCCACCTTTTTTCTAATACGAAAAGGATGGGACGGAAACGTGGAATATAGGAAAGAGGAATATCCTCATTTTGTGCGTTTCCTCCTCCGATTGTGGGTTGGCAACGCATCCGCTATTGCGAATGTCTATGGGAAGCGGTCGCGCCATTTTGGTTTCAGGTGGCTTGCTCGTTTGCCACCTTATGAAAAACAACATGACAGTGCAAACTGGTATTCCAGGTCGTTGTGATACGTGCGGCGCTCAGTTCCCGCGCTACGAGCAGCTGTCGCGGCACCGGCAGTGCGCGCACGGCGCCCTCCCGCCGCACCTCCCGCACGCCTGCGCGCAGTGCGGCAAGCGCTTCTCGCACGCGCACTCGCTCACACGACACATGCACAACCACGCCAAGCAGCTCTACCGCTGCGTCGTCTGCAAGGTGGGACAACAGTCGACATCGACACCGACACCGACACCGACACCACTCGATATTACACGACTCGATGTTACACGACTCGATATTACACGACTCGATATTACACGACTCGATATTACATGGCTCGATATTACATGGCTCGATATTACACGACTCGATATTACACGACTCGATAATACACGACTCGATGTTACACGACTTGATGTTACAAGACTCGATGTTACATGGCTCGATATTACACGACTCGATGTTACACGACTCGATATTACAAGATTCGATGTTACACGACTCGATATTACAAGATTCGATGTTACATGGCTCGATATTACACGACTCGATATTACATGGCTCCATATTACACGACTCGATATTACACGACTCGATATTACTCTACTTGATATTACACGACTCGATATTACACGACTCGGTATTACACGACTCGGTATTACACGACTCGCTATTACACGACTCGATATTACTCTACTTGATATTACACGACTCGATATTACACGACTCGGTATTACACGACTCGGTATTACACGACTAGATATTACACGACTAGATATTACACGACTCGATATTACACGACTCGATATTACACGACTCGATATTACTCTACTTGATATTACACGACTCGATGTTACACGACTCTATGTTACACGACTCGAAGTTACAAGATTCGATGTTACACGATTCGACACCGAAATGAAATGACGCAACATAATATGACGTGACTCGACAGTACCTACGTCACACAAAGAATGTCAATGTTCCTTGCCACTACGTCGTTAATAATAACACATAATGACACTAGGCAGCTCTAAAAGCGTGATCTTACTAAAATTATAAAAAAAACATATATTAAGTAGTCTATGTGTTCTTCCAGTCTATTCTCTACATTTCCGCCAAATTTCATAGAAATCCATTTAGCAGTTTAGGATACAAACTAACTAACTAAATTTCACATTTATAATATTAGTAAGATTATGAAAGAGCGTCGGTGGCTCAGTGGTTTGAGCACTTGACTTGTAATCTACAGGTCTTGGGTTCGAATCCCGCTGTACCAATGTGATTTTCGATTTTTCATATGTACATAATTTACCCGACGTTCTTACGGTGAAGGAAAACATCGTGATGCAGCACATATCGGCGAAGAAATTCAAAGATATGTGTGAAGTCAACCAACCCGCACTTGGCCAAAGTGGTTGACTATGGCCTAGTCACCCCTTACTTAGGGTAGGCTCCTCGTCCCTCGATGGGGACGTATAGTGAGCTGGTCATGATGAAGGTTATGAAATTAGTTTGTAAATGCATGAAATAATTTATTTAATTTGATTCCAGGCGTCTTTCGCACGAGCGGATCAGCTGGCTCAACATCTGAACAGTCATCTCGCGAACTACAAGCGTATGAAGCCGTAGACACGTGACGTCAAACACGACACGTGACGTCACGACACGACACGTGACGGCCACGACACGCGCACGACACGCGCACGACATCGGCCGCGCACGGGGGCAAGGGGCGAGTGCAAGCAATCGATTTATCTATGGACACAACACACAATATATTATATTATTATAGAGTTTTATTTATATTATGGTGTTTTATTTCAATTTCAAACGTAGATGAAAGCTGTATTACGTTTTGCCCTTGACTTCTAGAATTAAAAAACGTTTTTAGAAATAAATATTGTCAATAATGCTTTAAAATGGTGAAAGTTATGGAAATCACTCCAATAGTCTTTGATAATTATTAACTAGCTTATGCTCCTAGACTCCGACCGGGGAACTAAAAAATAAAACAGTAGCCTGTGTGTTCTTCCAAATCCTACGTCTATGCCAAATTTTATCGAAATCCGTACAGCTGTTTAGGTTACAAGCTTACAAACAGCCATCCATCCAACTTTTGCATTTATAATAGTATGTTATTCACATTTAAATTACATCTCCTATGGTGAAAGATTTTCATAATTCATTTTTTATCCGAAAGGTAATGCTTGCAGGTGGGTCCCATTTTTTTTTAAGTGAATCAAAAACACAAAAATCAAATTTTTTAAATTTAGATTACGTACATATTGCGCTAGCGACACAAAGTGGGTCTGCCTTCGACACGAGAGAGCGCCAGCGTCTGCTCTACGCATATTTAATGGACAGAAGTATATTTAATGACATCTATTGTCAATTAATATAAATACAATTACTCGTTTCGAAGTTCTGTCAGTATGCTTATGTGAAAAATGTCTCAAATGAAGTGTCAACATGTATAACAATTTTTTAATCTCTTTTAAAGAAACCCTGAGTGATCAATTAACGAATTAGCGATAGTAAAACTTTTGGTATTCGAAAATTGATTTTAATGCCATCTATTATTAAAGTCATTAAACACTGGTAAGAAAGTGCAGCATTTTGACACTAGATGACACTTATAAGTAATGCGACATGTATTCACAAAAAGTAATAACAAAATTAGTAAAGTGGTCACTTGATGGGTCTTTTTTTGATAATAAAACATTACTTTAAGGTTAGCTTGGTTAGGTATTTTATAAATGAAAATTGAAGTAAAGGTTAAATAAATAAAACGCATTATTTTTTTTATCTTTTTATTTCTCATATCATTCTTACAGGCTATGTCATATGTATGTTTTATAACTATATTAAATGCTATAGGTAGGTACAGGGTATATTTTATTCCTATGAATATCTTCATTTCATTGATAACCTTTTTTTTCATTTAAAATATGTTCAAATTAACATTCTTAATGATGCCAGTTTTGGAACGTAATCGAATACATCTCGAGTAAAATATTTTTATTCGTAAATCGATTGTTTGCTAAATAGCAATTAAACCGACAGTTCCCTCCAAAACTTGACAATAATAACAAAAACAAGTTTACGAAAACAAAAATTCAACAAATCAAAATCAACAGACAAGCGAAAAATCTTACATTTTTAATAACCTTACACTATTTGAATTACCACTAATTTCCACTAAATATGCGAGCATTCGAACTAAAAAGTGAAATCCAAAAAAATATCCGAACGGGGTTAAAAAAATAAAATGACAACTTCACATCCGGTCAAGTTTGACAGATATAGATTAAAAAATAATTCTTAAACGTCACCAAGCTAAGTATGAAACCTTAAATATATCACATCTCGATGTCATATACCAAGTAAGGGATAGTTATAGAAAATACAAAATGGGGGAAATTACGATAAAATCACTAACACTTTCTGGTCTTTTGTTAAGTTCGTTACATCACATTATTTTAAAACAAAAGCTCAGATCGTCTACAGCGTGCGTTGTGGAGAAATCAATAGATGGCGCTGAACAGAATCGCTGCCTAACTACGACTACGTGTTGACAACATTCATGGACGGTAGAAAAAAGGAATGGGACAAAGTGTCTACGTGAATTGTGAGATGATAGGCACAGTCCTTCTAACTTATCTGACCCGGTAGACATAAGTAACATTACAAGGCTAGCGGATATAAGCTGCCTTGTAATTTTCCTTCTATGTAATATCCTATGTAAAACATGTGTTTTTACATATCTTTTTGACAAAATTAACCGCGTAGCACTTCTCAGCAAGACAGATAAATTAGTAGCACTATATTTAGACCGTCAAAGCGTCAATGACAACCATAGACATCAACTTTGACAGATTGATGTAGCGATTGAAAAAAAGACAAGAAGTTTTTTGAATTCCTACAAATCGTGATCGCTTTAAATTAATATTGTGATTTTACATATTTGTGTTACATTTACATTATGTACGACAATCGATTTCCTGTCGTACATACAAAATGAAAATACATACAAACTAGCGGTACAAAAACTAAAAAATCTACACCACACTATTGCGTAATTATTGCTGAGTTACGACGATCTACGAAATGAAAATTGAATTATTACAATGCCCAAAGACATATATAAAATTTATAATAATTTCTATTGATTCTAGACTTGGAAGATTCAAACCAACAAAATCTAGATCGGCAATCGGTTAACCATTAATTTTTTCTTACTTTAGTTCTTGTTTTTTCCATTTGTTTTTAAAAACTCCATTAAAATATAAATTTATAATCTGACAGAATTCATTTTGTAAATGAATCAAGATATTAATTTTTTATGTAACAAAATAATTTGTAACATAAAATTTCAACGTTACAAATATGCAATTTTCATTTCAAAGATCGTCACAGTATTACAAAGATCTACTAAACAAAAATGACAACATCAATTACATGTAGAGACAAACACGAAATTCGTATTTCACACATTATAAACATTTATTAAAGAGACGGTGAATGTCAACTGCCGTGACAATTGTTACTATCTCTTACATTCTCTTTGAAAATGATAGAGACAAAAATACATATGCAATAAATCTCACGGCAGTCGACACAGGCACTGTAATGACAAATTACAATCGATTTCTATTGAAATGACAAACTATATACAATTTACTGACAATGTCTATGGTTTTTATTCTAGCGTACTCCGTCTGCGGATTTAAAAAGTTAAGTTGTCTATGATTTCCTATGGCAAATTTCATAGGGATCCATTCAGCGGTTTGGAAGATATCTTCTTAAAAACATATATCCAAACACATAACCAGTCGCATTTATATTATTAATGGGATATATTAGAACAGTAACTATTTCCAGGATTTGAAGTAGACTGTATATTTTCCAGATTTATATCTACGTCAATGGTAAATTATATCAAGATTGGTTCAGCAGTTTATGCCACAAACTTCAACAAACATTTAAACTTTCACATTTATAATATTAGTAAGATTTCAATGTTTAAAATGAGCCTGTGACAGAGTTATAAAGGTACATAATTTCTCATTTCAATTGAACTCGATTATAAAAGACGCCATTAAAATGTGACACATATTTTATACATCTCAAAAAATATGCTCATTTTCGTGTACAAAAACAAGGTTTTTTCTCTTCCCTACGCGTTATGGGTCTACTACAAAAACATCGAAAGTTCTAGCATCATTCTAAAACAAAAGAAACACTACTAGATTAAAAAAAACTTAAAAACACCGAGAAAATTTGTCACATTGTAACATACCCATTTCATCGAACGACGTTAAAAAATCATATATTAACAGCACTTATTCATAGCAAAACACCAGTGCTGTGTTCTTAAAATTAGAGAGATCATACTCTCTCATTAGAGTTCTCTTTCTCACTATTTTCTTTTAATAATGGATAGGAAGAAATGTTTTTGGAACTGAAAATATTCTAATTCTGTCCACGTCGATTAAAGTCGGTAACGCATTTGCTAATGCGAATATTTGAGTTACTTCGTAATTTAAATGGAAGTTTGCTCGTTTGTGCCATTAAAATTTTTTTTTCATAGGATTATTCCTTCAGAGGAAATTTCCAACACATTGTCGAGTTGGATGAAATGGGTTTATTATTTTGTGACGGAATCTAATTTGTAACACGAATACTATAGTCTAGTGTTTCATGGCCCTGAATATTATATCAAATTAATTCAATTGTTTTTGAATTTCCAATATTTCAATTACATTATATTTTGTCTTATATGTGTTCATTAAAATTTGTAACGTTTATTTGAAAAAGTTGTATGATTGCATGAGATTGAATGTTGAACATCTTTTGTTTTACAGCATTTCTGTTGGTCTTATTAATTGTTTAATATAAATCAGTCAGTAAATAAATGTTGTTACAATTTTGATATCACTGTAACTTTACCATAGTTATAAACTGACTTTACTCAGTATTCAAGTTTGTGCTTTAAATGTTTTGATTAGAGTTGAATATTCAAGGCCATAAAACTAAATTTAGAATCACTCTTAGAGGATTATTCGCTAAGTCTGAACAATTGGTGTTATATATTAAATCGGTTAGACATTATGTACTTAGAGAGACGCTACAAAAGGAAACAACTAAACATCTTTGGCACGCGATGTCCTACAAATGGTACATTCAAAACGCTTTAGATATATATATTAATTCTGTTAACCCAAGAAATTATATTCTAGATTAATGCATCTTGATTTGCGAATTTTATCTCTGTAACAAAAGAGCTTATTAGTTGCTCCAGTATTTATTAAAAAAATGAAATAAACAGAGCTGTAACTTCAATGATATATCAACACCTGTATTATTTTATAGTAAAGATAGTTGAGAGTTTGTGCTATTACAAATACAGGAATTTTTGTAATATTGTTAATCCTAAAAATTTTTTAGCTCAATAAAAAACGCACCCAATAATAAGTTTAGGAGATAAAAGTGTTTTAAATATACCGTTTGGAGCACTCTACGATATCTATATGTAAAAAGTTTTTAAAAGGAATTTTTCAAAAGTTCGAAAAATCTTTTTTTTCATCAATAAGGCATTTTCATTGGAATCATGTCTAGATAGAAAATTACAATCCGCCCTCACAACAATCCTATACACATTATAATAAGGATTTAAATATAATATTGGTGTTATTTGGGAGCTTAAAATTAAATGATATCTTTGATACATATATGGACAAAAATTAAAAAAAAACAACACATAAGATGAAAAAAAATAAATCCACTCAAAAATTCAATAGCCTACCTATCTAAAAAGACATATGTAATAATGTTTTGCACAATAATTTCTTGTATATATAGTATATATAATTTTAATATTTCTTGCACTTTACCTAGCTAAAATGTTAAAGACCATTATGCAATGGTCGTCCTTATCGTCTTAGCCGAGCATTACAGCTTAAGACAGCAAAGCTGGTATCATCTTATATCTAAATTTTAACCATATGTATAGATGAAGGAAGATCAGCTTTGGGTGAAGGCAATGCATACCGAAACGCGGACTAAAATATCCGGTTTTAAGACAATCGTTTGATTACCAATCGACATAAGACAATCGTTTGAATATTACCAAACGACATAAGACGATCGTTTGAATTACCAAACGGTATTAGACATTCTGATTTGTAACATTGAAGCTAAAGTGCTTCTGTTCGCGAATCATAGAGTTTACTTCTCTAAATCATTGTCTAATTCTTCTGCTGCCCACCCGTGGCTGTTTGCTGTTATCATCTAAATGGGTATATATTTAACTTATTGTATCCTATTTCAAGCGATTATAGGCGTTACAATTATAATCTTCCTAATATCTAGCATTATATGTCGACTATAATAACTATATTTGTCTATCTAAAACTCCATCAATATTTTTGTGATATTCCTCAATTCTGGGGGAGGTCGAACCTCGTAATGCATGTTTTTATTTATTCACATAATAATTAGCTATGTAACTTCGACATTTCAGCAAGGGACCACAATCAAATGTTCATTCGATATTTTTTTATTATGTGAATAAAATTAAAATCAAGCGATCCTTCGCGATTGACTGGGTGATGAAAATTGACTTATCAATTCGTTCCTTAGCTGAAATCATGTTTTATAATGAATTATTACATATTTGTTACATATAAATATCCTTAATAATAATTTCTAGCGATATGTCTCACAAGTTTTTCATCTACATGCCTCAAAATAAATAAGTCGCTAAAGAGAAATGAATTTATCTACGACAGACAAACAGATAATTTATATTTTTAAATATAACGTATAAAATACATCGTTTACAAAATATCATATAGAGCAATAGAGACGAACGCGGTCAGATGCGTTGTCATTAAAAAGTTTCAAAAAAGACGGTCGAGAGCGACTCCATTACACTTACATTACAACATGTAACGTTTTCATTAGCCACGTTCTAAATAAACAGCAATCGACCAACAGCACACCATTTGTGCAACCTTCGACAACGTTACAATCCACTTAAAAAAAACAATGTTACATTCCATTAAAAATAAACTTGAAGTGTCACATTCAATAGAAGACGACATTGAATGTAACATTAAAAATAAAATTCAACATTGAAAAGTGTAACATTCGTTACAATGTAACATCGAAAATACATCAAACTGAATAAATTTGTAACAAAATAAGAAGAAACACACGCACACATACTCATTCGTATTTCGACTAGCTACAGTAAAAGATTAAATGCTCCTTAGTGTCTATGCAATAAATATTTTTTCTTTTCACTTATACAATAAATAAATCTAATATTTCTCTACGTTTCGGTATTTTATTTTCACGAAGAATTTTTATTTTTTAAGTGTTCTTTAACATTTAGACACAACCATTTTTTTTAATATAACAGTTAGTTAATAAGTGATTCATGATTTTCTATTTTTTTAAATATCTTACGGTTTTGAATTTGGCATTGTCTTTCGGAACAAAAAAAGTAACAAAAAAATAGATAGAGAGAAACTAAAAAAATGACTAGAATCGTTCTTTGTATAGCGTTATTTACTTGTATGTAATCTTTAAATATTTTTAATTCCTATTCATTTACACTCGTACCTAGCAATCTCTTCGGATATAAAATTGTCTTATAAAACATCTCACTCGCCGAAACCTGCGCTCGCTAACGTCACCTACTAAACATGTCTCCAAAAATCTACAATTTTCCCACTAAACCTTAGTCTAACTCTTGTGCTAACAGATGATTTTGGTTCCTTATCACCTTTCCGTTTCTTTCTCCAATATTTCTTTCCCACTTTATTTTCAATCCTCGTAACCAATATCAGCATTTGCTAATCTTAACTTAATCTTATATGAATAATCTTAAATCGAACTATATATTTTCTAAAAGTTATTTTTTTTTGGTAATTATAATAGCATTTCAATGCTCTTCAAGCGGTTGAAATAAATGTTTCAAATAAATGACTCACATTTTACTTTTTGTAAAGAGTTTTGACCGACTGGTCAACTTGGTTATTTCTCTCCGCTCAGTATCCAAAACCCGCTTGCCCAAAGATTTGTACCTTTACCAAAAATAATTATAAAAACAAAACTATTAAAACGAACTAAACATTATCGATTGAATTCACTATTTCAACCAAAAAATAATATTCAAATTATAAAACAACGTTACAATTTTTAATGATTTGAAATTTCAACTTAAATTTTAATGATTATTTCATTAAAATGTATCTCTATAATGTAAATTACTGACTAACTTCGTTATTATTCCACTACGATATTACATTGATTAAAATAAAAAAAATCACATTAAAAGACTAGAACAGAAATACTACAGTAATTGGCAATAGCCAGAAGAAGGCATTGAAGAATGAAATTGGATCAAGAAGTCGGTACAGAAGAATAGAAAGGTTGGTACAGAAGAGGTACAGAGTAGATCAGGACATGAAGGGCTTCAAATCCAGTCCTTGTGGAGGCAGCAGCAGGCGGGCTCGGGCGGCGGCCGCTGCCCTCACACCAGCAGGCTCGGGGCCAGCCACTCGTCCTCGCCGATCTGCGTTACAAAAAAATACTAAAGTAACACTAGTACGAAGGTGATTTGTCACTTGATAAATCGAGACAGACGCGACATACTATGAGCACTGTACATACAAGTGTTACGTTAAACTTTTAGTTCAGTTCTTGGTGCAAGTATATTTTATCTTTCTATCAAGACCATTATAGTAGACCTTACAAATAAACGCGGTATAAAGTTTAACTTAGGAATAAACAATGTAAGCCAATATTAGTACAATTTTTTCCTATACTCTGTTTATTCCTAAGTTTAACTTTACACCGCATTTATTTGTAGGACTGTTAGAATGTGTGCACACCTGAAATTAAACTATCGCTCAACTGTTTAGTTGCGCTTTGATTTCTATAAGATTATATGGAGGTGAACTCTACTCGATGTTTAGTTGTGCAACTAAACAGTTGAATTGGCTACAAAACAACTATAAACAATCGCACAAAGCTTGTGCGATAGTTTAGTCAAAGGTGTGAGGCCGCTCTTAGTGTAAGGCGTAAAGCTTGTAGAGGTATACTCACTGGTTGCACCTGGAAGTGCTGCACCGGGTAGTGGAGGACTTGCGGCGGCTGCGACATGGCAGCCACGCCGCCCACGCCGCCTACACCGCCCACTCCGCCCACGCCGCCCACGCCACCGCCCAGAGCCCACGGCAGCTGCACGCCGCCCATTCTGTAACATACGACAAGACAATTATTAAAGCGTTAGCATAAACACTAAGCTATCTAGATCTTGATTTAGTCTAGGGAAGGGGGCAACTATCATAAATATGCTTATATTCGAAATTTTCGAATCTGTTTAACATTTATCGACTCTCTGGGGGGACAGCTTACTCCCCCTCGCCTCATTCTTCTGGTGTCGATGTAACTGTGTACAATAACCGATAAGATTCAGGAAGTAAGGAGTAGTTACTAAACATTTTAATGTTCCTGAAATGTAAAAAAACTTACCCCATGTACTGCTGCTGATATCCTGCAAACTGCCCGGCGTAGGAGTATCCCTGCACGCCCTGCACCCCCTGCACCCCTTGCACGCCCTGCAGGAAACCTCCGAGCTGTTGGGGGTACGTGTTGTACCAGTATGAAGCGGGGGGCACACCGCCGGCTGCGTACGCGCCGAACGGACTGTACGCTGTACCTCCCAGCTGTAACATGTATTACATTAAATTATGTAACATTAGCTGTTGCTTGACAACTGTCTATGTGAAATTTTAATCTAAAATCCATGTTACTCAGCGATAACGTAGCTTTTTAATGGTGAAAGAATTTTTGAAATCGGTCCATTATTTTTTGAGTTATGTACATACAAAAATACAAACCTTCCCTCTTTATGATATTAGTACAGAATTATATACATACGAGTAGATTAACTATTGTTGGAATGTAACTTGGCATTTCATGTTTTTTACGTGTGAATTGATGAAGTTACTGTAAAGTAGATTACGCTTGTCACATTTCATAGTAAAACTACGTTTTGTTGGATTTAAATATTGGTAACAACGAATCAAACAATGGTACCCAGATTTATTACTAAATACTTTGCGGGCGCACACCTTTGACTAAAATATCGCACAACTGTTGTGCGATTGTTGATAATTTCGTAGCTATCAACTGTTTAGTTGCACAATTAAAAATCGAGTAGTGTGCGCACCTCAAAGCCCATAGGAATGTAAGCGCGACTAAACAGTTTTGAGATGGTTTTGTCAAAGATGTGCGCCTGGTCTTATAATTAATTCCGTCACAGTTGTAATAAAACCTTTTATTCTTGTATATTAATTAAATTAAAACACCTTCTGTACAAGTTTACATAATTATGTATTCTCTTTAGTAAAGATTCAGCTCGGTTTCCATTAGACGAATTTGCATTTGAAAGACAGTTCGTCAAGAAATTTACATTTAATGTCTACAGGAATAAATTGTTTGTGTAACATTTTAAAAATCTTACTAACATTATTACTACGAGTTTAAAGAGAGAAGAATGGATAGTCTTGTGTAGTACACGTACGATGTACTAAAAAGTAATGTTACTCGGCACTGTACTAAAAGTAACGTTACCGAACGGCTTCTGTTAATCGGACATTTAGTACTTTTAGCACACTACACGATATCGGTGTTCGCCTTTGTCAAAAGTGGATAAAATTATTCATAACTAAATTTATTTTCGCTAAAAACATATGTTTGACCCTGCTTAAAATTTGATGTGAAGTAATATATAACCCTCGTTATATTCTATTCATGTAGTGTGTTTTCACAAATCTGAAGTACTAAAGGTACTAAAAGTGTGTACTACTACGTTTTCCCAATTGTACTAGAACGGTGCGAACTTGCAGATGTCCGATTAAGCCCAAGACTAAGAATGGATGTTTATTAGAAGATATACGAGTACAATGCCCAAAGATTCAAATATATTGAGTAGGCATAGTTGACACTGTACTTGAAATATTTTTCACATATCACTACTAACGCCATCTATCGATAGATCCTCCTATTTAAATTGCCAATAGATGTCATTGAACATTATTCCATTTAGTTTCTTTTATAACGTGCATGTCAATACAAGACGGCACTAAACTTGACAACTAATATAGTACCTTTCAGAGAAAATACCTGTGAAAAAGTTTTTCACTGTCTCGTCTATGTTACTTAAATATTGATCTGATTGAATTTTGACATCTTACTTATATTATAAATGCAAAAGTTTAGATGGATATTTGTTAGAGATTGTAGCCTAAACGGCTAAAGAGATCTCCATGAAATTTAGCAGACATGTAGAGGATAGTGTGGAAGAACACATAATTGGTTTTTTTTTTTGGAATTTTGAAAGCTAGTAAAATTGAATGTGAAAGAACACTGTTGTTTTAATCACGACGAAGTCGCAGCTAAAATCTGGTTTCTTGCATTTAATTGTTCCATAAAGAATCTTCTAGAATGACTTGAAAGCACCAACTACTACGTAGTTTGAATGTAGATAACGAGAGAGCTGCAAAGAAGTGTCTAACCTCTACATCTCAGAGTAAGCAGTGGTAATTTACCTGTCCTTGTGCTTGTGCATTGTTAGGGTCTCCAGATTCCTTGCCCCAGGAGCACTTGACGAGCTGACCGTTCACATCAGTGTTGTGGACAGCGACTATAGCGTGAGTGGCGCTCTCTTTAGTTGAGAATCTGAAAGAATATTCAACACACATTTGTATTATTGAACTGAGGTCTATTAGGTTTCTACCAATCGGGTCTTTTTCTCATTCTTAGAGCGCACACTTTTGTCTAAACTATTGTTCAATCTATGTGTGATTGTCAATTGTTTTGCAGCCAACTGTTTAGTTACACAACTAAAAATGGAGTAGTGTGCCCACCACCATGTAAACTTATGGGCATTAAAGACTAAACAGTTGTGCGATAGCTTAGTCAAGGTGTGCGTGCTATAATAAAGTAGGACACAAACCACACACAAAGACAAGAATATATTGATTTTTAAATGAAAATGAATACTACCGTACTGACAGTGCGCAAAGAGAGTTGGTCTTTGATTTCTTTGCCTACCCTTAGGTTACGTGAATCTCACCTGATGAAAGCATATCCTTTATCTTTGAAGACGCGGATCTCTTGTATAGTGCCGAATGGCTGGAATGTCTTCTGCATGAGGTCTTCTGTGAGCCCGGTGGTGAGACCGCCGCAGTAGACCGTGCAGTTGGTCGGCGAGCTCTGGTTGTACACTTCGTCGAAGGTCAGCGGCTTCGAGTTCACTGGAAGAGATGATCGTTAATAAGATACATTGGTTCTAGTAGACGGAAATTTGGTAGTAGACCTCTTATGGTCTACTCAGTAGACGGAAATCTAAGTAAGTTTTTTTTAATGTCTTCACTAAAATATGAGAAATTTCTTATATTTAATATTATCTATATTGCTTAAGCTCGATTAACTATTAGCGATTAATATTGTGATTGTAAGGTCAAGCACGAAAATTTTCGAGAAAGTAACTTTTTCAAATAAAAGTATTACTTTAACGGCCCTTTGCAAATGCAAGTATTAACGTAATGAATACTTTTTTTGCAAATCTTCGTGCTAAGTCCTATGGTTTATACAAACTCAAACATCTAATACTAGCATAAGCCGGCGACTTCGTCCGCGTGGAAATAAAATAAATCAAAGTGTATAGCGTGTATAGTGTGTATAAGTGTGTGTGGCCTATGTGTTCTTCGAGACTATCCTCTACATCTATACCATATTTCATTGAAATCCATTCAGTCGTTGACGCTACAAACTCTAACAAACATCCATCTATCTAAACTTTCGCATTTAATATTAGTATGATTACAGTATTAATAAAACCTTAAGGGGATTATATCTTATTTTCATAATAATAGTATTTTTAAGCTAAAAAATATTAACATAAAATAAGTATTTAGAATGTTTATAAATTCACACAGTTTTAATAATAGCAAAGTCCCGTAGGATATCTATATTAAATTTTTATAAAAACCTCCTTTCACTACACTTAACCGACCTTTATGAAAGGTAACTCTCCCTCGCAAATTGAATTCCTCTGGTCCCGAGGGCAGGGGAGGGGAAGGGAAGGGATTTGAGGATGTTTTTCGCCAGGTAACAGGGCTATGTGGAATTTGAAAAGTTTAAAATCATATTAGAAGTGGAAGAAATATATTTCCTACACACATAGAACTAAGGTTCCATTTCCAAACTAAATTATAGCTGGCTTATGCTCGGTTGCTGAAGTTCACTTATGGGCGGTTTCCCAAGTCTTTTAAACCATTTCATAGTGCTCATGGTTCGGTGAATTCATAAAATGAGGTTCAGAAGTACGTAACTTCACGTTTACCCCGTTAAACCTTAATTTTAACTAACTAAATAAATTACCATAGTTTGGTTAACAGCTAACATAACTGGGAAATAGAGATTTATAAGTGTTAGGTTGAATTAATATTTAACATAGTAAAACTCAAGTTAACGTAATTCGGAAAGAAGAAGAAAAAGTAACAAACGGGGATTGCAAACAGACAGACAGATAGACAAAAATTGTTTAAATGCGATGTTCGTTATCAGCAACGCAAATACATCATCTTCCCGAAATCAGGAATTTTTCTTTTGATGTTACAGACAGACACTCCAATTTTATTACATACTAGCTGTTCCCGTGCGGCTTCATCCGCATGAAATTATGAAAATTCTATTTTATTCTTTACATTTGTTAAATTAACAATTGCAAATGTCAAAATGACATGACATGACAAACCTAAGCAATCTTGCTTCCTTGATGTTGGCAGTATCTTATGGTCTCTTTCCCTCATTGGAGTTTTTATCCAAATCCTCAGTTTAATGACGTGAAAATATAGCTTAAAGCGTGATGTAAGTGCAGGGCATATAATTAACAAAAAAAAACATTCAAAAATATGCTATAATTGTTAATATCTTAGGCAACAAAGAAGTGTGTGTTTACGCTTTATTATAATAGTATAGATATAGACAATTTAATACGTTTCTAATTTAATGTAAATCACATTTTCTATATCGAAAAAGGTTTAGAAAAAAAATATTATTCTTTACGTAAGAGGTATAAAAAATTAATTATAAATTTCCCATCAAGTGCATGCTCGTTAATCCGTTAATTACAGCGAATTAAATCCTAGCTAATTAACAACGCTTCGGAGAGAAGTGTGCTTACCCCGCTCTACTAATAAGCGTACTCTGTTCCAAATAAAATAGTAAGAACGTGCGTGTAAACTAAACTATCGCACAACCTAGTCTTGCTTTTTTGTGACTGAATGGCCCCTGTTTGCCTTTACAGATTCACCGGGCTTGAGGTGGCCAAACGCATGGCGCTTAGCCTGAACCTCGTTTATGAGTAACTAAGCTCGAAGGACCCTCAGGAACCTCGGCACGAGCCGTTACTTCGTTATTATTACCGGATTGAAAGTCTTGCTTTGATTCCTATGACCTTATATGGAGGTGTGCAAACTCGATTGTTAGTTGTGTGAACATTTGAAGCTGCGAAACAATTGACTATCGCACAGTTGTGAGGTTGTTTTATCAAAGGTCTACGTTTGCTCGAAATCTTCGTAAATAAATATAATCTTTTACGTTTTTTTTTTGGAAATCTTAATTATGTTATACTAGACGCCCGCGACTCCGTCCGCGTATAATTAAAAAAAGCAAAAGTGAGTAACCTATGTGTTCTTCTAAACTATCCTCTACATCTATGCCAAATATCGTAGAGATTCGTTCAGCCGTTTAGGCTACAACTCTAACAAACATCCATCCACCCATCTAAACTTTCGCATTTATAATATTAGTTAGGTAAACTACTGAAGGAACTCGATTATTGTCATAAATGTAGAGGATAGTCTGGAAGAATACATAGACTACGTTTTTTTAATGACAGACATATGTGAAAAACATTACCTAACAGAAGCCTATTGTCAAATTAACTATAATTACAGGGATGTAAGGGGTGTTGAGAAGGTGGTTTGAGGTGGTTAGGTGTGTACGGGGTGGTTAGGGGATGTAATCGTAGGCAATAGCGAAGGTAGTCCGCAGCGGATATTACCCATTGCGGAATTATACAGAGCTGTTACAACGCCTTAAACGGATATTTTGTATGTTTTCCGGATATTATTGTAACCGGATATTAAGTATGGTTTCGGATATTATTAGAGCTTGAATTTGTATGTATATTTTAATGTAATATTCTGTATTTAAGTTTATTTACAGTACAAGAAAAGATGTTTTGAAATGTGTTTATTTTTTGACAACTTTGTTATGTACAGTTTTAATGTGAATTGGGAAACAAATAATTTGTGTTAATTATAAAGAGAAATGGGAAATAATTCCTATTATTATTATTTTGGGTGACACACTAGCAGCTAGTTAGCTGATGCGTGTGTGTTGTATAGCTCGGAGATTTTAAGATTGTCTAACCTATTTTTAAAAGCATTGACTGTTGGAGCCGCCACTACAGTATCGGGAAGCCTGTTCCATGCCATGACTACTCTGTTAGGCAGAAAATGCTTGAATGAGTTCCTTTTTGCTGTTGTTATTGTAATAGTAAAAATTAATTAGCTGCTATGTAAACTCACATAAATAAATCTTATTATTAAATGTGAAAACCTAAATGAATTTTTGTTATAGTTTGTAGCCTAAACTGCTGAACTGATTTCGATGAATTTTGGTATAGTCTGTAAGAACACATACGCTACTCGCTTTCGTGTTTTTTAATAACACGCGGACGGAGTTGCGGGCGAAAGCTAGTAACATTTATATGTAGGATAAGGAGGTTATAAAGAGGTTAAATATGTTTCTTTTTAATATGTTTTCTTTTTAATTGATTTCGAGTTTTATACTTTGACGTTCGTTTAAAATTAGTTTTAAGTTGAGAGTCAGAAAAAAAAAGAGGAACGACGATGTAATAAGATGTGTTTTTTGTAAAATGGTGTAAATATTAAAAACAGCGATAGTTAACGAGTTTATTTTTATTTGATCGAGCCACAACCCCACAAAATCTCGTCCGGGATATTACCAATCACCAAAAAGGAGTACGACGACAACGACGAATTTTTTTTTTAAGAAGATTAAAATGACGATGATTGAGGGCTTTGGGAATCCGTTTTTGGCAATAGATTCGTTACCACGATTTACTGGAGACGATGTTACCTATACTGCATCCAGGTGGGCACAAGATATTGAAGATAATGCGCAAATCTTTGCGTGGAACCCACAGCAAAAATTAATAATAGCCCGGCGCTGTTTGTCCGGCACCGCAGAACTATGGGCGAAGACGGAGAAAACTTTCGGCACATACGAGGAATTAAAAGCAGCTGTACTTAAAGAATTCCCAGAATCTGTAAATTGTAAAGAAATGCATGAGATGATGAGTGGAAGGAAAAAACGACCGAACGAGACGTATTATCAATATATGTTGATAATGAAAGAGTTGGGGAAGAGGGCCAAATTCCCAGATTATGTGTCTATACAATATATAATAGATGGAATAGATGATTACGAGGCAAACAAAATTTTACTCTACGGTGTAACGACGTATCCAGTTTTAAAAGAGAAATTGAACCTGTACGAAACCTTTAAACAGAAACAGAAGCAGGAGTTTGAAATGCGTCAAAATTCAGTGAGGCCAAGAGCAGTGGAATCTGATTTTAGAAAAACGCTAAGATGTTATAAGTGTGGTGAGGCGGGGCATTTATCAAATTCATGCACACAAGGAGTGAAATGTTTCAAATGTAATAGTTTTGGTCACATTGGTAAAGATTGTCAGATGGCGGCGATGAAGACACAAGCTCACGGCGCAGGCGCGAGCGGTAGCAGAAATGACAGGAAGTGTCATCCGGATCGGTCAATGTTCGTTCACGGAGAGTGTGACAATGACAGCAATCAACGTCACGAATGTCAACAGGTATTAAATGTAAACAATAATAGTCCGATGGCGAATAAAAGTGTAAAGCAGGTAAAAATAGGTGATTTTACAACAAATTGTTTGATTGACACGGGTAGCGATTTAAATTTAATTTCATTTGAGTTATTTTCTAATAAATTGATGAGTGCTTATCCAAAGAAAATGAGGACGAAGGAATAAGAATGCATAAGGAGGACATATTGCAGGTAGCCGTGGATTATGGCTTAGAAATAAGTCAAAAGATGGTGAAAGACGAAAGTCCGACAGGTGATACAATGGAAAATGTTGATGTGTTAGGTAAGACCCTACGTTTTGTTGACAGCGAATTACAAGCACAAGAAGACGATGATGCGTTGCAAGTTATAGGAGAAATTTTGAAACAAAATGATTACGATGATTATATTAAGAAGAATGAGCTTATTTATAAAGGTGTAGATGAAGCAAAAGTTGTACCCGAACTCATGAAGCATGAAATTATTATGAGGACTCATGGTGTGAGGCACTCCGTAAAAAAGGAAATAAAGGACATTGTAGAGAAAGAATATTTTATCAGGAAATTGGACAGTAAAATCGGAGAAGTAATTTTAATGTGTGTACCGTGTTTATTGGCTTGCAGGAAAGCTGGGAAGAAGGAAGGCCTGTTGTATCCAATAAATAAAGGAGAAAAACCATTAGATACGTTACATTGCGACCATTTAGGGCCTTTAGATAAAACCAAGAAAATGTATAATTATATCCTAAGTATAATTGATGGATATACCAAATTTGTCTGGATTTATCCTGTGAAGACTGTGACGGCAAAGGAAACTGTAGAGAAGTTGAGGTTACATCAGAGAGATTTTGGAAATCCACGGAGAATTATAACAGATCGAGGAACAGCGTTTACTGGGAATGATTTTCAAGAGTATTGCCAGAATGAAGAAATAGAACATATCAAGATCACGACTGGGATACCCCGAGGAAATGGGCAAGTAGAAAGGATGAATCGTATTATTATTTCCACATTAACAAAGATGTGTATTGAAGAACCCTGTCAGTGGTATAAACATGTTAGCAAACTTCAAAGGGTCATAAACAGTACATATCAACGTTCTATCAATACATCACCATTTGAATTGCTGACGGGAGTGAAATTAAGAATGCGAGAAGATATGGAGATACTGGAATTTTTGGAAGAAGAAAGCAAGATTGAGTTTATACAAAAAAGAGATGAATTAAGGAAAGAAGCTAAAGCACAAATATTGAAAATACAAGAAGAAAATAGGAAATGTTACAATAAGAAACGGAAGGAAGGGGAACGTTACCAGCAGGGAGAAATTGTAGCGATACAAAGGACGCAATTTGGAAATGCCCTAAAATTAAAACCAAAATTTTTTGGACCATATCGCATTATTAAAGAATTGGGAAGAGATAGGTATGAGGTGGAGAAAATAGATCGAAGTAAGGAGGGGCCTATTAAAACTACAACAGCTGTAGATTATATGAAAAGATGGCCTTAATTTGATTATTCCTTAGTAGTAAAGATTTTGTTTAGTTTAGTTTTGTTATTTTGTGTAATTTTAAGTTTGATTTATGATTAGTCTGAGGGCAGACTAAAGCAGGATGGCCGAGCTGTAGGATAAGGAGGTTATAAAGAGGTTAAATATGTTTCTTTTTAATATGTTTTCTTTTTAATTGATTTCGAATTTTATACTTTGACGTTCGTTTAAAATTAGTTTTAAGTTGAGAGTCAGAAAAAAAAAGAGGAACGACGATGTAATAAGATGTGTTTTTTGTAAAATGGTGTAAATATTAAAAACAGCGATAGTTAACGAGTTTATTTTTATTTGATCGAGCCACAACCCCACATATATATGTGAGAGAGATGTTTCTGTAGATGTTTTTTCACTGAAAACACTTTAAAATTTATTTATTAAGAGTATTTTAAAAACAATTTGATATTTTGTAATTTCTATGTCTAATATAATAAAGAGGAAAGATTTTTATTTTTTAATTTTTGTATGTAATTGTTCACGTAAAAATTAGGGGGCCGATTTCAATAATTCTTTCATCATTAGAAAGGTAATTTATCTGTGAGTAACATAGACTATACAGCTAACGTTTTGTTATATTTTTTTAATTTCAACGGTCGAAGTCGCGAGCAACAGCTAGTAAGTAATAAAATAAAAACATTGAATGTTGTATTTATCATCTCTGTATAATTAAATCTTTGATGTAATTCGCCCTCAAAACGACCTCCGTTCAACATCAAAGGGCGACCGCCGACAATTAAAATTAAAAACAATGTTATTTTATCAGATAATGAGAACAAAGCGTACATTTTAATGGGAAAATTGTACGCCCGAAGCGAAAAAATATTAATATATTATTTTTCAATTAAACTTTGAATAACATTAAGAGAATTCGAGAGTTACTCGTGGGGAGAAAATCACTGACCTCTGTTAATGGACAGGCTATAAACTGTGGTATTTTGTGTCTATTATATTTGCTGTTGGTCAAGGTCTATAATTCTAGAACTAATGGTAGAAATAGACGTCATTAACATAATAACTCCAAAAATCAAACAAAAATATGGGACCACCTGCAAGCATTACCTTTCGGATAAAAAAAGAATTATCAAAATCGGTCTACTAGCGGCGGAGTTATGCCGTAACCGTACCGCCGCGCCGTGCCGTACAGTTATGCCGAAGAGCAGCACATACTGTGCCGACCCTCTATAAGGGATAAGGGCAAGTGGATGACGATATTGTGCGATAGTTTAGTCAAACAGCGATAGACAGACAGCGTGAAGCGATTTTATTTTATATCTTATTTCTTACTAATATTATAAATGCGAAAGTTTAGATGGATGGATGGATGTTTGTTAGCGTTTGTAGCCTAAACGGCTGAACGGATCTCCATGAAATTTGGCAAAGGTTTAGAGCACAGTCTGGAAGAACACATAGTCTACTTTTTATCCCGGGAATAGTTACGGTTCCCGTGGGATTCATTAATTTAGTTTTTTAATGTTTACTCGATCATTCTGCAACGGTTCAACATATCTTATTAAAATTTGGCACAGATATAAAACAAAGTCTGGAGTACACATGAGATAAACGTCATCCCAGATAAATGTCCGGTTCCCGAGGGATACGTAGCTTTTTGTAATTTATATAGTTCGTATGTTTTCTAATACCACGCGGACGAAGTCGCGAGCAACGGCTCGTTATGCAATATATGGAGTTTATCTCATATGAAATTCACAAGGAATCGGCAACATCAAAGTGAATTCTAGCTGAACAAACACGGCCTACGGGGTATATGTTATTCAAACTTAACATAAGTATATTTACTTAGGTTATATTTCGCTTTATCGATCAAAGAAACCAAAGAGTTTTCTAAGTTAAAAAAAAACATACACACTAATTGAGTACCTCCTTTTGGGAATTCGATCAAAAATGAACGTCTTATATATTTTTTTATTTGGACATCTGGGCTCAATTTTGAGGTTATATTTATTTTCTTTCTAAATGAACATATCAATTTACCAATTTGTTTTAATCTCAAGCATGTTGTGGATATTTAGAGCGGGCGCAAGCCTTTAAATAAACAATCGCACAACTGTACGATTGTCGATTGTTTCTCAGCTTCAACTGTTTAGTTGCACAACTAATAATCGAGTAGTGTACCTCCATATAAGCTCATAGAAATCAAAGCGAGACGAAACAGTTGTGCGATAGTTCAGTCAAAAGTGTGCGCACGCTCTAAAACTACATGAGGGTTTATACAGTTTTTTAATTAAAGTGATTCATAAGGGAGGTTTATTACTAGTTTATTACTAGCTTACGCACGCGACTCTCCGCGTGTAATTAAAAACAATAATGAGTAGCCTATGTGTTCTTCCAGACTATCCTCTACATCTATACCAAATTTCATCGAAATCCGTTCAGTCGTTTAGGCTACAAACTCTAACAAACATCCATCAAAACTTTCACATCTAACTAATATTATAAATGCGAAAGTTTAGATGGATGGATGGATGAATGGATGTTTGTTAGAGTTTGTAGCCTAAACGGCTGAACGGGTCTGAATGAAATTTGGCATAGATGTAGAGCAGAGTATGGAAGAACACATAAGTTACTTATTTTTGTTTTTTTAATACCACGCGGACGGAGCCGCGAGCGAAAGCTAGTTTATAATATTAGTAAGTATGATGGATCAAATCACTTCAATCGTGTTTGCATTCGTATCAAGATGCATTGAACAAGCTATTGGTATTTCCTATACAATTTGAAGTTACCCAGCAAAGCGTAACGCATCGTCCAAATTGCAATTAAGATTGGATTAATCTTGAGGAAATGGATTGGAACGTTCTGATATTGCTTTATACGGTACAGTCGAGTGCATTGTCAGTGTTGAAACTTAATCTATCGTTTGATGTTGGTTCGATAATTCAAGAAATGCGTTTCCGAACTACATAACTTGAGTTTTACTCTGTTGAATGGTCAATCTAACACTAAAGAGACGCTAGGTAAATACATATATATCTACACTTCTATACTAATATTATAAAGAGGAAAGATTTGTATATCTGGATTTTTGTATTTTTGTATATATTGAAATAACTCAAAAAGTACTGGTCCGATTTTAAAAATTCTTTCACCGTTAGAAAGGTAATTTATCTGTGAGTAACATAGGCTATATATATTAATTTCACGCGGGCGAAGTCGCGAGCAACAGCTAGTAGTTAATAACATTGTAGTGTCTGTAATGTCAAAAAATAAAATTCAAAAGAAAAAAATTAGATTTCGGGAAGATGATGTTTTTGCGTTGCTGATAACGAAAATCGTATTTTAAAAATATGTCTGTCTGTCTGTCACGTCTGAATATAAGGTGTAAAAAGAAACTTACGTTCGCTTTTAGGCGCGGGCGGTTTCCTTGTTGCCCAGTTCGTGCGGATAGACCGCGAGCCCAGCCATTGTCCGTTCATAGCTGTTATCGCTGATTCCGCCTCCTGGAACACATATTGAATCCTATTTTAATAATCTATGATATTGGAAATTGTTGTCCACATATCGTGAGGGATGAATCGCATTTAACAAGAACGTTAGTTATGAGTGTGGTACACCGGTAGAGGTAGACATAGAAAGAGACGTATTGTGTGAAAGATGACATGACTGAGATGACGGATGATAGAGTTATTTGGACGACGAAAACCTGGTTCGCCCTACGGCAGTAGGATAAGGTAGGAAATATGATAATTGGAAATTATTCAACTCAACTATTTGATCCGAACATAATCAAACTAAGATTGGTGAGAGAATATATAGCCGTTAGTTTTGTTACAAAACATGTAAACCCTACTGATAATAAGTACAGTAAGGCCGTGCGCACATTCGAAACTAAACTATGGCACAACTGTTTAGTCTCGCTTGGATTCCTATGACCTTATATGGAGGTTTCTACTACATGTTTAGTTGTGCAACTAAACAGTTGATAGCTGCGAAACAAACGACAATCGCACAACTTTTATGTAAAAGTTAAGTCAAAGTTGTGCGCCCGCTCTAATAAGTCAGTAATCGCTACCTTTCCCGCTCCGCTTCTTCAATATAACCGCTACCTTATTATTAAAACGTTGAATTCTTTGATCCATACCGCCATTAATTATTCCGTCTCTCGAGATGTTGCAAGAAAATTAAATCATACATTCTTTATTACTTACTTATTTATTTATCTCAAAGGAATTAATTTCGTAATACCTAATGAAAGGTGAAATGTGAATTAAATTGTCTAATATATATCAATACAGTGTAAGAGCGGGCGCACATCTTTGACTAAACAATCGCAAAATTATTGTGTGATTGTCGATTGTTACACAGCCAATTCAACTGTTCGCACAACTAAAAATTGAATAGTGTGCCCCTCCATATGAGATAGAAAACAAAGCAAGACTAAACAGTTGTGCGATAGTTTAGTGCTCTAACAGTATTGGTTAACAGCAGTTAAACTGCCTACACACCTGTGCGGTTAGATTAGGTTGGTTTCTTCAAGCAGTACCAATTTTAACGCTATTAGTACCCTGTGGTACCGCATTAACATCTTCGCACGAATGGGCCAGCTCGCCCGGTGTAATACCACGACCACACAGAAAACAGAAGTGAAGTGGAAATTCCGCGATTCGTCTCCTCCTCCGTCAATGAAGGTTAGGTAACGCATCAGCAATTGCGGATATTTATGGGCAGCGGTCGCTTTCTATTTCGGTGGATTCAGGCCGCTTGCTCGTTTGCTCACACTAATAAGATGGGGTGGTCTAACACTGGTATATTTTATTGTTTAAACTCACCGATTTCTTTAAGAACGAGACGAATCCGTAGCCTTTTGACTTGAGAGTCTGCGGGTCGCGGACCACTCGGCAATCTCTGTAACAAAAATGAGCATAAAAAAACTAAATAAGATAGATTAATTTGCCAATACAGTTGTCAATTTAGTAGAGACGGTTTGTGTGAAAATAGGCATGAATCTTTTCGATTTTTATTTTTATACAAGTTGGAATCGATAGATTCATATTTATAACACTGTTTTCTCAAATTAATAATGACCTGCAGAACCATTACAAGTAATGAGAGTGAATAAATATTAATTACTACTACAGCCATACGTAATCGAATTGGATTTCGCTATTATGTCATCCCTAAATTAGTAAAATAATAATGTTATTTAACTTCGATAATTTTTATTTAAACCGAATATCGATAGTTGCTAATTGTTCGCTGCGTGTTTCGTCACTACGATACCTGTCTAAGTACGGCATTTGCCTTCATACAAATTTAATTCGATACTTCATATGCGTCAATCATCAAACTAACCTACCATATTTAGACAAACTATATAAAACAATCGACAATCGCACAACGGTTGTGCGATTGTCGATTGTTTCGCAGACAATTCAACTGTTTAGTTGCACAATTAAACCCGAGGATAACCTCCATATAAGCTTATTGGAATCAAAGCGAGAATAAACAGTTAGGCGATAGTTCAGTCAATGGTGTACGCGTCCTTATCATACTAATATTATAAATGTGAAAGTTTAGATGGATGGATGGATGTTTGTTAGAGTTTGTAGCCTAAACTTCTGTACGGATTTCGACGAAATTTGGTATAGATGTAGAGGATAGTCTGGAAGAACACATAGGCTACTTTTTATCACTGGAATAGTTACGGTTCCCGTGGAATTCATTAATTTAGTTTTTTAATGTTTACTCGGTCATTCTGCAACGGTTCAACATAGTGTTACGTGTAAATATTCTTTGATGTATGTCTTCCATTCTCCGGCGTAGCTTATTCACGTAGCTTTCTCCCGCGATTTCTTCACCGGGTGGACAACCAAACTTCAGATCACACGGTAAACGAAGGTCCCTTCCCATTATAACATTCGCTGGACTCTGACCTGTCGATTCGTGTATGGCCGACCGATACGCCAACAAAAACAAATGTAGATATTGGTCCCAATCCCTTTGGTGGTCAGAAACTACCTTCGCCAGGTGCCTGTTGATGGTCCTATTCATCCGTTCCACCATTCCATCGGACTGTGGATGCAATGGGGTAGTTCTCGTTGAAGGTCGATGAACGCCCCTTCGCATCAACCCTTCGTTGTTTTCCGACGTCGTCGAAATTTGTTGGTCACTGTTTTCTTTGCAGTTGTTCCATGTGTGTCCAAATTTTCTAGAATTCCAGCAACGTTGCGACTTCTTTACAAATTTGTCGGAATCTTCCAAGCATCTGTTGCGTACGTGACCTAATTTACCGCAGTGCCAACATCTCAAATGTCTTTTCTCAGGCATCATTTCCTTAACTACCCTTCTTATGATTTCCTCACCGATAGTGATATCCTCATGGCCCTCCTCCATCCTACGAACTTGTAATGAGCCTTTGCATGTGTCTTTTGCTGCTTCGTACTCCAACGCACGAGCCAGCGCGTCGACCAATTTCGAAGGGCGAGCTAAAATTAACGCTCTTCTTGTTTCTTGATCCCGAAGACCGTCCAAAAATGCTTGAATAGCCAAGCGCTCCAACACGTTCTCAGGAGTCGCTGGGTAAGCGAGCCGAGCTAAACGAATAACATCAGCTTCAAATTCCTGTAAAGATTCACCTTGTGTTTTTCGCAGGCTTTCAGATAGATTTTACGAGAAGAACTTTAACTGTCGGGGATGAAGAACTGATACTTCATGGAAAGAATATTTACACGTAACAATATCTTATTAAAATTTGGCACAGATATAAAACAAAGTCTGAAGTACACATGGGATAAGCTTCATCCCCGAGAAATGTCCGGTTCCCGAGGGACACGTGGCTTTTTGTATTTTTATAGTTAGTATGTTTTCTAATACCACGCGTACGAACTCGCGGGCAACAGCTCGTTTATAATATTAGTAAGTATGTGAAAGTTTAGATGGATGGACGGATGGATGTTTGTTAGAGTTTGTAGCCTAAACTTCTGTACGGATTTCGAAAAAATTTGGTATAGATGTAGAGTATAATCTGGAAGAACACATAGGCTACTTACTTTCGTTTTTTCAATCCCACGCGGACGGAGTCGTGGGCGAAAGCCTGACTGATTGTGGCAGTGAGTAGGTATATACAAAAACTTCATTAGGAGGAAATGACTTTGCCCCTTAAGGTCGGTATTCAGGGTAAATTACCGTCACATTTTTACGCACAAATATTACTTCAGTCATCTTCATTATGTCCACAATTTAATGGAAGCATTTAAAATAATGTCGAGCAAAAAACACGTGTAATTTACTTGATAAATAAACTAATGCCCATTAATGTTAAGTTGACATAAGTTTTAACGGAGTAAAACACAAGTTACGTAGCTCGTAATTTATAAAAAAAATCAAAGCGAGACTAAACAGTTCTGCGATAGTCTAATCAAAGGTGCGCGAGCTCTTAATCTATACTATTATAATAAAGCGTAAACATACACTTTTTTGTTGCCTAAGATCTCAGCAATTACAGCATATTTTTGAATTATTCTTTTTTTAATAAAATACCCTACACTTACGTCACGCTTTAAGCTATATATTTTCACGCCATTAAACTTAGGGGGTAAATATTTTGGCTAAAAACCCTAATGTGGGAAAGAGACCATAAGTTGCTGCCAACATCAAGAAAGCAAGATTGCTAAGATTTGTAATGTCATGTCATTTTGACATTTGCAATTGAAAATTTGAACGTAAACAAATGTAAACAATAAGATAAAGTTTTTATAATATCATGCGGATGAAGCAGTGCGGGAACAGCTAGTTTTAGAAAAAAAGAAAAGTATAACTTAATTAAATAAATAAAAACTAAATTGCGTAACTTAGACGTGAGCAGAAAATGTAAATAATAAATATCTACTTTGGCATACGAACAACTTATGAAATGACGTAATATTCGTAAGGGTGTGTTTACATTGACAGATGCATATAAGGGTCGGGTCCTATAAACAGCGGGGATTTTTTTAATACTATTTTCAAGAAAAAATCCCGTTATTAAAAAAAAAAAATTAAAGTACGTCTATCAATAACGGTTTGTATTTCTTTAAGTAGTTTGTGCAAACATTTATTTTTTTAAACATTTAACATTATTGGATATATTAAATACTGCTGTTGTTCGCAATTTAGTCGCCTTAGAATAAAAAAAATAGCTTATGTTACTCACAGATAAATTAGCTTTCTAAAAATTAAGAATTTTTTAAGTCGGCCTTGTAGTTTTTCAATTATTTCAATACATACAAAAATACGAATATTTCCTCTTTATAACATTAATATAGATAGTCTACATTTATTAATAGTGAAAGAATTTTTCACATTAAAGTAGTTTTTGAGTTAATTCGCCACAAATACATAGAAATAAAACAATTTTATTATACAACATTCGTGTAGTTGCACGCTTATGCTTATCACTGTAACCTCTCCTTATTGGCGCTGGTCCAAGTGAGAAACGCTATATTTATTGCTCATATTTACGATTCAGTTGATTGCATATTTTATAAGCTCTATATCTTAAGTAAATGTTCTCAACAGATTGGGTATAGAGAGAATTCGTTTACCAAAGACATTCTTTATTACATAAAGTCACTGATTAATATAAATGGAATAGCTTTGCCCGCGACTCCGTTCGCGTAGAACTAAAAGGTAGGAGCCTATGTGTTCTTCCAGACTATCCATTTCATCTATACCAAATTTAATCGAAAACCGTACAGTCGTTTAGTCTACAAACAAACAAACATCCATCTAAACTTTCACATTTATAATATTAGGGTAAGGTCACTTGGAAATGATAGCTGTTACTGGCAGTTAATAATATATATATTACTAGCTTCCGCCCGCGACTCCGTTCGCGTGATATTATAATAATAAAAACAAAAGAAAGTAGCCTATGTGTTTTTCAAGACTATCCTCTACATCTATGCCAAATTTCATCCAGATCTGTTCAGTCGTTTAAGCTACAAACTCTAACAAACATCCATCCATCCAAACTTTCACATTTATAATATTAGTATGATGCTTTTGATCGCAACTTCGTCCACATGAAATAAAAAGTAAAAATGTAGCCTATGTTATCTATCAAGAAAGTACCTTTTTAATAATGAAAGATTTTTTTAAATCGGCCCAGTAGTTTTTGAGTTATTTCAATACATAAAAGAAATACAAATACTTCGTCTTTATAATATTTGTATAGATTGACAGTGGTAGAGCCCGCTTTAACATCTTCGCACGATTGGGCCGGCTCGCCCGGTGTTATACCACGACCACACAGAAGACAGGCGTGAAGTGGAAGCAAATCCGCGTTTCGTCTGATGAGTGTGGTGCTGTGGGTCTAATTTTAGTCCCTTTCCCTTTCCACTCTTTTCTTAAGAGGAAAGGATGGGAAGGAAAAGTGGATTTGACGGTGTAGGAGACGCTTAGGAAGGGAAAATGTCCTCTGTATGTGCGTCTCCTCCTCCGTCAATTAAGGGTAGGCAACGCATCTTCCATTGCGGATGTTTATGGAGAGCGGTCGCTTTCAATTTCAGTGGATTCAGGTGGCCACTTGCTCGTTTGCCACCTTATATTATATAAAAAGTTAAGTATAGGATAAGTAACTACAGTATGTAACTTACGATATCTCCCCGAAAGGTGCAAAAGCGTCTCGTAAACTCTGCGTCTCGATCTCAGGACTTAGATCTCCAACGAAGATATGATAGTGTTCTGTAACAAAGAGAAATTCAATTAGATATCTTTATATATTTGTTTATATTAACACGCTCACTGCGACATGGGCCAAAATGCAATAATTCCGCCAGTGCATGACAGGTCTTTCTAGACCCGGCACTAAAATAGATTAAATTGCTATAACTTGCTTCCTTGATGTTGGCAGCAACTTATGGTCTCTTTTCCACGTTAGGGTTTTTATCCAAAATATTTACCCCCTAAGTTTAATGGCGTGAAAATATATAGCCTAAAGTATGACGTAATTGCCGAGCTTTTTATTAAAAAAGAATTATTCAAAAATATAATGTAATTGCTGACATCTTAGGCAACAAAGAAGTGTGTGTTTACGCTTTATTATAATAGTATAGATAGATGTCTTTGCCACAAAACATCCGCGTCAATTAGCCTCGCTTTTTGACAGCTGTCAAAGATGAAGGGGAGATGCGGGAGAAATGACGCAATACCTCGCAATATGATTTCTATTGACTATCGCGCAATTTATTCAGTTATATTTATGTTTTCGCTTCTGCTGCATGTATATTTAAAATGTGTTTATAAATACTTCCTGCCCTTAACCCTACGTAGTGTGTGCATAGTATACCTTATTCTATTTACAAGTCTACTATCTTTCGCTCGCGATTCCGTTCGCGTGGAATTAAAAAACACAAAAAAGAGTGGCGTATGTGTTCTTCCAGACTATCCTCTACATCTGTACCGAATTTCATCGAGATCCGTTCAGCCGTTTAGGCTACAAACTCGAACAAACATCCATCTACACATTCGCATATATAATTTTAGTAAGATATCTTAAGGCGAGCATATTCATGTCAGTAACTGGTAAGTGTTTTCCCGTCCCTATATCTGTAATGTATTGCACATATAAATAAAATGAAATAAAAAGTTGCGGATGAAAGGAGATTGCATGTGGCTGAAATGCGTATGTTAAGATGGATGTGTGGTGTGAGGAATGGATAAAGTTAAGAATATGTACATTAGAGGAAGTTTGAAAGTAGTGCCAGTGGTGGAGAAATTGAGAAGCAAAAGGTTAGCGTGGTATGGACATATGCGACGAGACGATGACATAAACCAGAAAGTGTTAAGATTGAATGTGGATGTTTACAAAGGTAGAGGAAGACCGAAGAAAGAATGTATTGAAAGAGGATATGCGTGAAAGGAGTGGATTCAGATGGATGATAGCACATATAAATAAATTGGTAAAGTGAGCAAAATCAAACCAAATTATTCGTAATATTAAATCCGCCTCCAGTAACATCGTATCCATTGATTGCTCCATATATTCCGTTTCCGGTCGTAGGGTTGGCAAAAAATTTCGAAATTGTTATATGCATTTTATTTATTTATTTTTCACTACCTTTTAAACTCCGACCGTGTGGAATTCATCAACAAAAGTAATAAGCCTATGACTTCCAGACTATACATTTAAATTCCATCAAGGTCTGTTAAGCAGTTTAGGCTATAAATTAACAAACTTAAATCCATCTAAATTTTCGCATTTACAGTATTAGAAAGATTGTATTTTATTTCCTGTATTTTGTACTAGAATCAGGAAGCCATGAGATACATTTTTCACATATTTCTTAGTCCTGAGCAAGATAATGACATTAAAAATTAAAATTGAGAACCACGCCATCTAGTTTAAATTTAAAATAACAAATGTCAAATAGACTTTTGTTTTATATTTTAAGTTAGCTTTCGACCGCCACTGCGTCCGCATAGAATTAAAAAAAACTAAAGTGAGTAGTAAATGTGTTCTTCCAGACTATCCTCTACATTTATACCAAATTTCATCGAAATCCGGTGACCTGTTTAGGCTACAAACTCTAACAAACATCCATCTAAACTTATGCATTTATAATATTAGTAAGATTAATTTAAATATTAAGACCATTTATAGTTTTTTTTAGACTCTTTGAGGCTTTATAATATAATACTTAATAAGTAATAGGCTGAAAAAAAAACTAAATTTAACATTAAAATATACCTGAGCAATACAATCTCCAACCCTATCTTTGGCTACATTCGACGCAGGCTTTCAAAGATTATTGAAATGTAATTGAATTTTACATATCGATTTCACTTTCTTATATAAATCGTCGCTTCGCATCTTTGCCTCGAATATACTATATACAAGTAAGCCTTATATAGTACATACTAGCTTTCGCCCGTGACTGCGCCCGCATGAAATTAATAAGTAACAAAAACAGCCTATGTTAATCAGTGATAATGTAGCTTTTTAATGGTGAAAGTATTTTTTAAACGGTCGTAGTTTTTGAGTTATTTCAATACATACAAAAATACAAATCTATTCTCTTTAATATTAGTATAGAAGTATAGATTGGGAAATTTTTCTTACTGGTAACACTAAAATACTTGCCAACGCCCGAATATCAAAAAATTTCCATATGATTGTAAGTCTATAAAACACTGAGATTATTTTAGACTAGCTGTTGCCCGCGACTTCATACGCGTGGTATTAGAAAACAGACGAACTATGTAAATAACAAAAAACTACGTGTCTTTTGGGAACCGGTTATTTCTCGGGGATGAACCTTATCCCATGTGTACTCCACACTTTGTTTTATATCCGTGCCAAATTTCAATAAGATATGCTGAACCGTTGCAGAAATATCGAGTAAACATTAAAAAATAAAAGTAATGCTTCCCACGGGAACCGTAACTATTTCCGGGATAAAAAGTAGTATATGTGTTTTTCCAGACTATGCTCTGCATCTGTGCCGAATTTCATGGAGATCCGTTCAGTAGTTTAGGCTACAAACTCTCACAAATATCCATCCATCTAAACTTTCGCATTTATAATGTTAGTAAGAAGTATGATTAGTATGATTACAACATGTCTATGGTATATAGAAAGTGTCTATTGTATATTTAGGTACACTCGTTACCAGCTAACAAGCTCGCATGACCTCATCACGACGCATGTAAATCCGGGGTATGCATTATGTATTGCTACGCCGCAGGGCGTGACCCATTTCGCGTACGCCACCCGTCGCCTAAGCCCCCACCGACAAGTTTTTACAGTGTTCATTAATTATAGAGTAGGGTAAGTCGACTAAATTTGATCTGCAGATCAGTTCGCGAATGAATGAAGCGGATCATTGCAGCTCACGGATCAGCTTTGTATGATTTAAACGAAGTATGATGCTTCTATTTATGATTTAAATGAGTGGCATGTCACCGGGCAATTTCCGGATCAGTCTTTATAGTTACTAGCTGTTGCCCGCGACTTCGCCTGCGTGAATTCTATACTATTATAATAAAGCGTAAATACAAACTTCTTTGTTGCCTAACATGTCAGCAATCACAGTACATTTTTGAATAATTCGTTTTTTCATAAAAACCCTACACTTAAGTCGTGCTTTAGGCTATATATTTTCACGTCATTAAACTTAGGGGGCAAATATTTTGCACAAAAACACTAACGTGGGAAAGAGACCATAAGTTGCTGCCAACATCAAGGAAGCAAGATTGCCATAGTAAGGTTATTGGTATTTCGACATTTGTAATTGAGAATTAAACAAATTAAACAATAAAATAAAGTTTTTTAATTTCAAGCGGATGAAGCCGCGCGGGAACAGCTAGTTACTAAGAATATAGCTTATGTCACTCACAACAATTAACTTTCTAACCCTTATTAACATTTAATTTCACGGGGACGGAGTCGCTGGCGAAGCTAGTCTACATATAATAACATTGCTGTGTCTGTATGTTAATATTGAAAAAATTCAGATTTTTCTGTCCGCAAGCCGCGTTTGTTCCGGGTTATCTACGCAACGGCTGGGTCGATTATGACGGGACTTTGACTGGAAGGTAGCTGATGCACACGGGAATGTTATAGGCAACCTTTTTTGTGCCCTAACGAAGTTTGCAAGCGACAGCTCGCTGTTAATGTAGTTGAGTTGCAGCTCAGCGATTCAACACTCCGTGAGCTGATCCTTCAAACCGGTCCACAGTTTCACAAACGTTTAATTAATTAGGCTCCAACTATGCGTGATGTTGTCGTTCTTTACGTTTATTTAGACTATTATAATAAAGCGTAAACATACACTTCTTTGTTGCCTAAGATGTCAGCAATTACAGCATATTTATGGATAATCCTTTTTTTAATAAAAAGCCCTACACTTGAGTCACACTTTAGGCTAAATATTTATACGCCGTTAAACTTAGGGGGTAAATATTTTGGATAAAAACCCTAATGTGGGATAAATCACAGCATATTTTGGATAAAATATGCTATGATTGCTGACATCTTAGGCAACAAAGAAGTGTGTGTTTACGCTTTATTATAATAGTATAGATTCAGTACGTAAAGGTCATCCATTATTCTCAATAGAATAGCTTCGTTAAACAAATAATACAATTAGAAACCAACGAAGCGAGGACAGAAAAAACAAACCTTTGGACCTCACATTTCCCAATAGAAAACTGAATCAACACACTTTATAACGAATATGTAAACGTACAATGGAAAATAGAATAAAATAAAACAACGTCCGATCTGAAACCATTGGGAAATTTCATGCACCAATCGTCAATTTTATTACTTGAAAAATTTTTGCGTTACGAAATGTTTTAAACCTCTGGAGGTTACAACAACAAAGAAGTTTCAACCCTATTGTGTTAAACTTACGGTACACTTTCGTTTGTGTTTGAAAGTGGATTGTTTTAAGTTGAAATTTGCTCGCCGCGTTTACCTTTGTTAAACTTACAAAGTAACGCCCGTAACTTTGTTTGATGATAAAAACTTTAAAACACAATTCGACGATATTTTTAAATTCTCTACTGAATTCCTATTGCCTAGAAACACGTACAAAAACGAATTGTTAAAAAAAATAATATGCAGACGAATTGAGTACCTCCTTCTTTTGGGAAGTCGGACAAAAAGTTTTATCAAAGAGAAGATAATATTGCTGTTTTGGGAACTTCTCTAGTTAACTTCTAGAAATTCATAAGACAAT